GGCCCCCTGCGCGCCGGGGCGTGAGCCCCGCGCCGCAGGGGCCCCTCCTTCCATTTTTCTGAACCAAACGTTCAGAAGAGTATTATTCTACAGTTGAACTAGAGCACCCACCTAGAGGGTTCTGTGAAGGGACATCTAGCAGGCCAGAGCACTGTGGGGAGGAGGCTAAGATACTGGATCTGACCCCATGGGAGTCACAGGCTCCACACACATGCTGTGGCTGTTGCCTCTCAGTCTGGCTGCCTTAAACACATGAACCAGGCCACAAGACAGGAGGGTGGTGAGGTGTCAGAGCACATCACTGGTTTTTCTAATTTGTTCTACTAAGGTCTTCTATATCCTCCTAACACTTCTATCAAAATAAATGTTTCCTATTCCATGGTTGGCCCTAGAATTCCTTGGTGTTTTATCTTTTTCTCACACTACTGATTTCACTTGAAGATCTTACTTTTTGACCCTCTAAACCTAAACTTCAACATTTAAATCCTATATATCTTTCAGGTTCAGTCCCAACGTCACTTTTCTCTATGGAGTCTTCCCTTAATGAAGAAGTCAGGTTCAGAGGGAAAAGTTCAACTCCTGGTTGTTACTTACTAAGTATGTTTCCTAGTACTAAGTATGTTTCCTAGAAAATGGGATAATATTTTTATAAGATTGTTTGAGGAGTTGTATGAGCTAAAATTTATGGAAAAATAAAATCTAAAAACTTATTCCAGTGCCTAGCTCATAATAGTGCTCAATTAATACATGTTAGTTACCTTCCCAACCCTGACTCCTTGAGCTAAATGTCACCTTTCCTTTCACAAACCTCCCTTGCTCTTTATTGATACCTCTCTAATGGCACTATCATTTCTTGCCTGTTTCATGGTTGCTTCTTTTATTAGATGGTAAGGTGTTCAGGGACAGACTCTACATCTGATTTACCTCCATAAATCCAGTGCCTTGTTTAAAATCTGGTATCCAGTAGATACCAGAAAAATGTTTATTGAATGAATGCGTGAAAACACAACTCGAACTGCATGTGGTAGGCAACGTTACTTTTTTTTTTTTTTGCATACCTAGTGTCGGCAGTTAGCTATCTGGAGGTTCCATATGTACAAAGAAAAGACAAAACATAAAAAAAAAAAATCAAGAGATGACACAAACAAGGAGGAATAAAAAGGCACTAATGGCCTTGAACTGCAGTGACATTTCATCTACCCTACCTTGGACAAGAGCTTCCATATCTCCTCAACCCTACTATGAGAAGGGAGTCCATTCAGATTCTCTCAGATTGACTCCTATGGCTGGAGTGGATTTGGAGCCCCCTTCTACTCATTGATTCATAACGTACTTCTTGAGTACTTACTGTGTGTCATACATCGTGCTGATCCTTAGAGTAACCGAGATATATTATGCCCAAATCCTCCTTTCAATAAGCTTACTTGTAGTAAAAGACAAACGATGTGCCATAGGCCAAGAAATGTGCCACCAAAGGTATGTTTGGATATAGATATACATATATGGGAAGTCAGAAAAGGAAAGTATTACTGAAGACTTGGGAATAAGAGACGGCTTCAAAGAAGGGGTCATGCGAACTAGGCTCTGAAAGCTAAGACTTGGATTTATACAGACAAGGAGAAAGGGGCTGCTGGGAAGAGAGAAGAGCATCAACAATCACATGAAGGCAGGAAAGCATGTGTATGTACAGGGAGCAGGAAACAGTCTGTTTGCCTTAAGTGTGTCATAGAAAGAGTGGTAGGAAATAAGGCTGGAAAGAAGGTTTAGAAGCAGATCATGGAAGACTCTGTATGCCAGTTTGAGTTTGGCCTCTGGTAGATAACAAGGAGACATGAACTATTTTTGAACTGGGGAAAGAATTGAAATAGAGTATATTAAACAGTGGGTGCATTTAGGAGACCAAAACTGTGCATGAGTCCAGTTTCATAATTTAGAGAGTCACATCATCTCGCTGGGCCCCAGTTTCCTCATTCATAAAATAAGGATTATGATCTTAATACCTCGTAGAATGCCATGAGAATAAAATGTGAACATGCTTTATAAGGTAGTGGATAAATGTTCACTGATTCATGATCAGAGGTGTAATTGAGTAAGAGTAATTCAGTAGCGATGTAGGATGGATGTGAAGAGAAAGGAATGAAGACAGGAGATGAGTAGGAGGCTGACATAGTGATTCAGTCAGAAGGCATTAAGGGCCTGAAGTGAGACGATGAAATGAAAATGGAAGAGGCACAAGTAATAAATCCATAGCATGTGGCATTAGATGAATGCTGAGCTGATCAAGGAGGAGTGTTTGAGATAATTCCAAACCTTTGGGCATGGGTTACTGGGAAGATGATGGCACCTTTAACTAGTAAGGGAACCAAAGAGGAGCAGCAGGCAGGAGAAGAAAGATTCATTCCCATTTGGAAGTGAATGCATTTAGTTTCATATCCCAAAGCTCCTTTGAGTCAGGCTGCTCTTGCCAGAGAGAACATAGATGAAGTTCTTTATCTGGGGTTCCTTCCCTGCCCCACATGCTGCTTCTGAGAGGGTGCTACAGCATCCTTTCCAATTGCATAATTGAGCATAATCAACTCCAAGGCTCCTTAGCAATTTACAAAGCTTATTCTCTCTTCATTAACCTGCAAAATGAACAGCTGTCCCAGAAGAGAGCTGGGATGTTTTGGGGGAAGTCTGTGTAAACTTGGGACCCTTCCCCCTCCGCCTGAAGGTCTCCATAAACTAGGTGTTTCTGGTGAGGCAGACCAGGTTGCACTCTTCACTCAGGCATTGACCTGTCCAGATAAAGCTTCAATCGTTTCTTTACTCAGTCTTTCTTTATAAAAACATGTTCTTCTTTCTGTGTGAAAGAGACAGAGACACACACAGGGTCCTGATACCAGGATTCACCTCTAAACTTCAGTTAGGCCCAGATCACGGGCAAGCACATGCCTGGGGTACTCAGGGAGGTATTTAGACTTGAATCAGGGACCTTCTCATGTGGGTTAACATCTCAGAGCATTGCATTTTACCAGTATGCCACCAACTGCCCCCTGCTCAGTCTTTCTTACTAATCCATTCTAGGTTTGGGGGAAACAAATAAAAGGTATAGTTTGTGGCCTTAAATTAAGAGCACACGGATAAGCAATGGTAAACAAACATTTCAAAGTACCATGGTGTTTTCAAATGGTGATATATACAAGACCAAGCTGAATAAATCCATATGGGGATTGGAGTGAGAGGGGTAACAGAGAAGATGAACTGTTTCTTTGGGAGTCATGGAAGGCTTCAAAGGGCACAACTAACACTTGAGTCAGGTTTTGAAAGATAAGCAAGAGGTCAACTGCAGAGCAGGGAAGTGCAAAAGCAGGTCAGAGGCAGGAAGGATCCAAGAGTGAGGTTCTTTGTGGAGATGGAGTTTAGAGACATGTGGAAAATTTTCAAGAGTAAAGTCAAAGTCGAAAGGTATCTAATCACAAAGGGCTTTGAGTTCTATGCTAAGAGTTGTACAATTTACCCTAAAAGCAATGGGGGCTATGATGGCTCAGTATTAGCCTCAAGAGTCACAAAAGCAGTGTCTTTCCTCAAGAGCAATCCTGTGCTTAAGAAAGCTTTAAATAATCTATTCATTCTGGAGAAAAAATAATTCTCAAGTAAAATAAACAAGCACTCAGGTGAAAAAAGAGCTCTAGGGAGATCTTACAGGCATAATGTAGCAGGTAGAATGCATCAGGTCGAAGTGGTATTTGCTGAAGGAACATGCTGGATATCACTGTAAGTATGACTGGCCTTTGTCTTAGGGAAGGATTCAACAGTTCAGTTCTTAGAGGAGAAAAAAGGTGGATGTCTCTGTTTCTGTGTCTTTCACTACCCAAGCAGGCCTGAATTCAGTCTGTGGTATTTGGCTGGGATTGTTTTGGGGGAAATAGCACCCTCTAGAGGACATAGTGGGTGTGTTTTGGGTGGGGCAGCAACAAACCATTCCCAGAACTTTGGCCTGCATCCTTACCCAGAGGCCTGGCCAGCTTGGGGGTGGAGCGTAGCTTATTGTTTGTCTACTTCTGACTCTGGTCACCGTGGAGAACAAAGCTGCCTGGCTGTGGGAGGTGGCACAGTAGCGGGGAGCAACAGATAACAGCTGGAGGTGGCAGATCTAAAGGCTGGCAACAATAGGCACAACAGCTGGAGGCGGCAGGCACAACAGCCAAAGGCAACAAAGAGGCTAGCCAACAGCCAAACCCTCCAGTGCCCATAAGTGGGTAGCTCCAGGTTCTGTTTTCTTTGTCTCAGCATGGTCCACCACACAGAGTACCATGGAGGCCTCCTGATAGCACAAGACCCACGAGAATGACCATGGGGTACACAGAAGTAAGTTGCTACAATTAGCAAATTTTGGACAGAAGTCAGAAGGCTTGGGTTCTGGTTCCAGCTCCACCAGTAATCTACTTGATGCAAATCTGAGCCTTATTTACAAATGATGTTTTTCTTTTTTTGAGAGGTTTTTGCTATAGGGCCCATGCGCTCGCCAGACAGACTGAGACATAGAGACAGAAAGTGAGAAATCACCTCCCAGGGGGGATGGTCACGCCGCAATCCCTTCTCCTCCATTCTCCTCTTGGGATCTTGGGCATGCACGCACACGCGCCCGGCGTGAGTTTTAGGCCACCGGGTCCGGGACGCGAACTGAGGCCGACTACATGGGAGTCCGGTGACATAGCCATTACGCTAACTGCTGGTTCCCACAAATGATGTTTTTCTGATGTATGCATGATGTGAGAATCAAACGACATATTTTATAAATTTGTAAAGTGATATATAATCATACACTATTATTGAAAACAACATCGAGGCTTTCCTTAGGCCTCCATTCCCCCAGATATGCAAAATCCCTCAACACAAACAAAGCTAGGGCTTCAAAAAAGGATCCCTGAATTTCTTTGTAGAAAGTGAAGGGAGTGCTTGCTTAGGCAGCACATATACTAAAATTGGAACAATACAGAGATTAGCATGGCCCCTGTGCAGAGATGACATACAAATTCATGAAGCATTCTATATTTCTTAAAGCAAAATAGACACTGCATGTCCCTGCTCAACATATACCAACTGTCGGCACTTTATCACAGAAACTAAAAGCTTGGAAGATATAATAGCAGAGTTGGCAAGTGTATATTACCAGAGACTATATAGGAGGGGGTGGAAAGTTGGGGGGTAAGAAGGAAGGGGTGGCAGGGGTGAGGGATTTAATGGACACAGCAATGTAAAGTTATTTGTTGAGGATGATGTGTATGGTGGTATCTTTGACTTGATTGACACACAATACTTGTATGCCTTGAAAAACCATATTATATGCAGTAAAGACATACAATGATTAAATGTAAAAAAAAAAAACAATAAAGAGAGAGAGATGGAAAGAGAGAAAGAAAAAGAAAAGTAAAAATAAAGTGAAAGAATAGGGCCAGCCTTGTAGCCTAGTGCTTAAGGGAACCAGATCCCATATGGTTAACCGCAGTTCGAATCCTGGCTCCAGTGGCTTGAAAAGCATGCCAGCATATGTGTATGCATCCCTGAAGTCCTGACAGGATGGAGAAATGGAGAAGGGATTGTGTTGTGACCATGCCCCACTGGGAGGTGTTTTCTCCCTCTCTTTCTCTGGTGAGTGTATACTCTCTGGCATGAAAGAAGGAAGGAAGGGAGGGAGAAAGAGAGAGAAAGAAAAAGTAAGTAAGGAAGGAAGGAAGGAAGGAAGGAAGGAAGGAAGGAAGGAAGGAAGGAATTGCAGGGGTAGAGATGAGGAAAAGGAGAAAGGCATCTTGATCATTCATGAATTTGATGAAAACTTGGACACAGTCTTTCAAACTCCCATCCAATACTTTAATCTTCTCTCTAGGATCTCTGGAAAGTGCTCATCCAACCTATCCTTGAACATCATCAGGGATAGGGCACTCTACCTTTTAAGAAGCTCTTTTCCCATTTGGACTGTCCTGATTGTTACAATGCTCTTTATAGTATCAATCTAAAATCTTTCTCCTTGCAACTTACAGGAGTTATAGGAACCAAATAAGGAGGCATGCTAACATGTGAACTCTAAAATGGTATAGAGATACAAGCATGTAATGGTTGTCTGTTATGATTATTACTGAACCTGACTGTTTCTCTTAGAATTCCAAGAACTAGTCCGAACCTTTGTTCACATAACAGCCCTTCAAACCGAATATTTGCACACATCTACTAGACCCTTCATCTCATCTCTTCCCCTAACTTCCATACTTCCTCATTTATTTCTCATGTGATCTGGTTCTGAATAGTCTCCAGCCTGGGTGTTCCTTGATACTGGATACGGCAGGTGTGGAATGAACAGAGGAGAGGAGAACCAACTACTTCCTTATTCCAGAGACTTTAGTTGAACTAAAGTAGTTTAAGATTGCTTTTTTGGCAACTAAAATATATGAATAACTCATACTGGGTTATTTTCTGCCAAAATGTTTAATTTTCTTTTCTTGGTACTGCTTGTTAAATCACAACTTCCCACTCCAAAACTTGCTCAGGTAATTTTTGGAGCCAAGTACATAATCCAGCATTTACCCTTTTTGTTAGATTTGGCCCACTCATCTGGCTTCTTTTGGATCCTAATTCTGCCCCAGACCCTGCATTTGCAACCTGTCTCACCTCCTGTTATCCCCATAACTGATGATCCACTCTTGAGGGTAATGCCAAAGACAAAGCTCTTTGGTGCATCATTAGGCATAGAATTTCAGGCAATCATGTTCTACTTACCAGTATCACTGACTTTTTAAGTCACCTAGTTAAATTCTGTTCATTTTTATCTTATCACCAAGGGTATAATGAGAGATGTTGTCAAAAAACTTACTGTAGCTTAAGTACATTTTATCTATTATATTTCTCTGATTTGTTAGTTTAGTAACTTTATCACGGAAGAAAATTGGGTTATTTTTATGTGACTTTTTCTTAGTAAAACCATACTGAGTCCCATTGATAACTTCATTTTCCCCACCCTGCCCAAGTACTCAGTCTTAAGATTCCATTGCAGAACGTTGCTCAGAATCAATATCTAAGTTCGTGAAATGTAACTCATTTTTAGTTTTGCAAATTAGAATTATGTTCATTCATCTCCAACTCTGCAGCAATTCCTCTGTCCTCAAATATTCCTTGAAATCTCCTGTAGAGGTTTATACTTCTTTTCAGGACTTCGGATCAAAAGAGAAGACATGCAGGAACCAGCAGTTAGCATAATGGCTATGTTGCTGGACTCCCACGTAGTCGACTGTGGTTCACATCCTGGACCCGGTGGCTTAAAACTCACACCAGGCGCGTGTGCATGCATGCCCAAGATCCCGAGAGGAGAATGAAGGAGAAGGGATTTCAGCATGACCATCCCCTCTGGGGGGTGATTTCTCGCTTTCTGTCTCTATGTCTCTCTTTCTGTCTGTCTGGTGAGCGCACGCGCCCTATAGTTAAAACCTCTCAAAAAAAAAAAAAAAAAAGAGAAGACATGCTAATCTGTGACTCTAAAATGGTATACAGAAATTGAGACAGTTGTCACTGTCACTACTATATACTAAATAGGGTTTTATTTGGACTCTAAATAATTCTTCTAACTTCAGAATTGCAGAGCTTCCTTTTTGCTTCAGAGTAGCCAAGGATATTGGGTAGTGAATGGCAACCAAGTCTGGAGAGTAGTCTCACATAGCTGGAAGTTCCAAATGGCCCATGGGTTCATAAAATGAGCATTATGGTTTCCTCTGAGCATTCTTGGGATTCTCATTCTTTGATGATCTCCAATTCAGTACCTTCCCATATGTACATAAAGTTGTACTCCTCCTAATTTAGTTTTCTAGAGAAAGGCTATGAGGAAAATAGGGTAGGGGGAAGCAGTGGTAAAAGAAAGAAAGAAAGAAAGAAAGAAAGAAAGAAAGAAAGAAAGAGAGAGAGAGAGAGAGAGAGAGAGAGAGAGAGAGAGAGAGAGAGAGAGAGAAAGAAAGAGAGAGAGAGAGAGAAGAAAGAAAGAAAGAAAGAAAGAAAGAAAAAATGTAATACAGGGGGCAGGTGGCGGTGCCATGGGAAAATACAATGCTATGTAAGGCTGACTCATGTGAGAAGGTTCCAGGATTGCAACTGGAGACCTCTCTGAATATGCCAGGCACATACATGTCCACGATCCAGGGCCGGCTGGGGCTGGGAGTAAATTGTGCCATCAAGACCCTCTTGAGGGTTCTTTGCTTCTGTTATCTGTCTCTCACTCATGGAGAATTAACTTTTTAAAAATGCAATGCATGGTTTAGAATTTAGGGAATGAAAAATGTGGTGGCCTCTGTTCTTCAATAAAGGTTAAACTCCCCAGAGATCATCTGCTCTCTCCCAGGAGATCTGGCCATCAGATCCAGAGTCCAAGGGCTCAAGCAATTCAAATTCTTTCTGTGCTGGAAAAGTACAAGTTACTTTTTGGGTAGGAGTGCCAGGCACCTTGTATTGAACTGTCTCCTATTTCAGTGCCTTGTCCCACTTTCTGCTATCAGGACAAATAGCAATCCTGAATTTGAGCCTGTGCAGACATTGCCACTAATATAAACTCCTAACTCTCCTACTTCACTTAGTCAAGACATTTTACCACCTACAAACTGGCATTTCTGCCAGCTCCTGGGGAAATGTTCCAGTGCTGCCAGGAAGCCTGTATGTGTTGTTTCTCCTCCACCACTGCTTATTTCTTCTTGCTCAGATTCTGCCTGTGTTCTTCCTAACACTACCTTAGACACTGGCCCAGACTGAATTTCCCCAGATGATGCCAACAGATGATGATGATAAAAAATAAAATAGGGCAGGTGCTCAGAGAGCATCTCAAAGGGTGGAAGGATGGGCAATCCCAGCTATTTTCTGAGTCAGATGACATGTTAGTATCACCAATGAGTACTGACACGGGCTAAGGGAGAGAACGGTGAAATTAAGGGTATATAAATATGTGTGTATGTGTATGTGTGTGTCTAAGAGGGGTTGGCCTGCAAGGATTTAAATAGGAGAGTCTTTTTTTGCCACATGCTAGTCCTTTTTAAGTGTGGAGGTACCCTATTTCAAAATGTGAGACCTTCACAGGACTGGTGAATGGAGATGAGTAGTGTCTCACCTCCACCATAAAGGACCTGTTGACTTATTACTCTTTTTTGTCTGCCTCTCCTCTTCTAAAAATTACAAATACTAGGGCCAGATGGTGATGTAGAAGTGAAATTCAACACTCCATTAGACAGTCCCATATAGGAAGTGTGGAGAGCGGCCATTCTCAGCAAACACGGTGACCTTGCAGACACATGCAGAAACAGCAGTTCTGTGTGAGCTTCATTTATAAAGATATAAAAGCAATTAACATATGAACACGTACCTGTGTACTGTTATCAATACTGCAAAGTAGTATCAGGTGAAAGGAAGTCACATGTGTTTATCAGAATCAGCCCCAAAAGATCAGAGAAATCACATGGCACCAGTAGTTTTCATTTCATTCAGCCAGTTAACATCTGAAAACTGGCTTTGCATTCCATTCCTCTTCCCCCTTTTTCTGCCCTACAAAATAATAAACCTGAGATTGGTTCAGCGTTGTGGCTTTCTCCATCAGTGAAGTCCAGCCCATCTGATGCTTGCTTTTCTGTACTTGTGTCTTTGTGTGTTTCTTTTTATTTCTAATACGCAGCCCCCGCCCCCCCACCCCGAAAAACGCGTTCAGCCGAGCCAGCCTCAGCAAGGAAGGTTATAGTTCAGTTCTGGAGATCTCCCTGAGTATGCTGGGCATGTGCTTGCCCACGACCCAGAGCTAAAGGCCAAAGGCTAGGGGTGGATTATGGTATTGAGACTCTGTTGGAGTACTCTTCTTTCTCTCATTTATGGAAGAAACTAAACTTTACAAAAAAAAAAAAAAAGTGGGCCAGTTAGTGGTATGGTTAAGATAGTTGGATCGCACATGGACCACAGCATGGTTCGAGTCCCAATCCTGGCAGCAAAAAAACACACTGGGTATGTGTGTGCATGACTGAATCCTGAGAGGAGGATAGAGGAGAAGGGATTGTAGCATGAAAGCAATTACTCTCGGGGGGGGGGTGCTTTCTCACTTTTCCTCTCTCTCTCAGCAAGCACACTACCCTATAGCAAAGTTTTTTGGGTTTTTTTTTTTTTGGAGAGGTTTTTGCCACAGGGCATGTGTGCTTGCCAGAGAGACAGAGACAGAAAGCGAGAAATCATCCACCAGGGGGGCTAGCCACTCCACAATCCCTTCTTCTTCATTCTCCTCTCGGGATCTTGGGCACGCATGCATGCGCATCTGGCATGAGTTTAAGCCACCGGTTCTGAGACTCCAACCATGGTCAGCTACATGGGAGTCCAGGGACATAGTCATTATGCCAACTGCTGGTCCCCATATAGCAATTTTTTTAAAAAATTACAAACATTAGACTATTGCAATTATTCGCTTACTGAACATGTGTCTTTCTTGCTAGGTTGTGAGTTCTTAGAGAGCAAGGTATTATCTTTGACTTACACCTTACCACAGTGCCTAGTATATAGTGAGTGCTCAATCAATATTTCCTAATAAAGGAATAAGTGACAACAAAATTAATGTTAATTCCTCTTTTCCATTGGGTGTTGTCTAGGAATTGGCTGGATTTTTACAATAAGCTCATTATGTTATCTTTCTCCCACCAGATGACATCAGTTGCCAAGGTATATTACAGTCAGACTACTCAGACAGAAAGCCGGCCCCTGATGGGCCCAGGGATACGACGGCGGAGAGTCCTGACAAAAGATGGCCGCAGCAACGTGAGAATGGAGCACATTGCTGATAAGCGCTTCCTCTACCTCAAAGACCTGTGGACAACCTTCATCGACATGCAGTGGCGCTACAAGCTTCTGCTCTTCTCTGCGACCTTTGCAGGCACCTGGTTTCTCTTTGGCTTGGTGTGGTATCTGGTAGCTGTGGCACATGGAGACCTGCTGGAGCTGGGCCCTCCGGCCAACCATACCCCCTGTGTGGTACAGGTGCACACACTCACAGGAGCCTTCCTCTTCTCCCTTGAATCTCAGACCACCATTGGCTATGGCTTCCGCTACATCAGTGAGGAGTGCCCATTGGCTATCGTGCTTCTTATTGCCCAGCTGGTGCTCACCACCATCCTGGAAATCTTCATCACCGGTACCTTCCTGGCGAAGATTGCCCGGCCCAAAAAGCGGGCTGAGACCATCCGTTTCAGCCAGCACGCGGTTGTAGCTGCCCACAACGGGAAGCCTTGTCTTATGATCCGAGTTGCCAATATGCGTAAGAGCCTCCTCATTGGCTGCCAGGTGACAGGCAAACTTCTTCAGACACACCAAACTAAGGAGGGCGAGAACATCCGGCTCAACCAGGTCAATGTGACTTTCCAAGTAGACACGGCTTCTGACAGCCCCTTCCTCATTCTACCGCTGACCTTCTACCATGTGGTAGATGAGACCAGTCCCCTGAAAGATCTTCCACTTCGCAGTGGTGAGGGTGACTTTGAGCTAGTTCTGATCCTAAGTGGGACAGTGGAATCCACCAGTGCCACCTGCCAAGTGCGCACTTCATACTTGCCAGAGGAGATCCTTTGGGGCTACGAGTTCACACCTGCCATCTCGCTATCAGCCAGTGGTAAATACATAGCTGACTTCAGCCTTTTTGACCAAGTTGTGAAAGTTACCCCTCCTGGAGGCCTCCGTGACAGCACTATACGCTATGGAGACCCAGAAAAACTCAAGTTGGAGGAGTCATTAAGGGAGCAAGCTGAGAAGGAGGGCAGTGCCCTTAGTGTGCGCATCAGCAACGTCTGATGGCTTGTTCCCACCTCCCCTCCCACTGGTCTCTTTTCCTCTCTCAATGCCTGGGTAAGGGATACTACCCAGGTTTACTGGAGAGCCCCAGAAGCACCCATCCTCTGCTCCCTCTTCTTTAACCCTGTGGCACGTTGGTAGGTGAGGCCAACTGGGGGTCCAAGTTTTTCTCCCTCTGCCCCCTTTGTCTACCCCGCTTCTACTCTGATACATACACCTTCCTTAAGCCAGGATGGGGGAATGAGAGGAAGATTAGGCTGATGTGGCTTAGAAAGCCTCAGCCATGCTTGGAGACTTACATTAGGAGGACCATGCGGTTGGACAGATAGACTCCCCCCACCTCCCGCCACCACGGGAAAGTTTGGTGACTTGAGGATGGAGACCTCTCCCTCTCTCATCTAGCAAGTTCCCTCAGACAAGACTCTGATGGTTGTTTTTGGGTTTGTACCTTCAGAAACATAGGATTTGGAAATCAATTTACTCTGAAATCATTACCAATCCCTGTTGCAAGAAGCCAGGATTTTTCCAGTTGAAGCCAATTTCTGCTAGTAACTCCTGAACATAACCTAGAACATTTGCCACCACTGTTTTTCCCTTCTAGTTTCTCAAGTGGGCCTTCCCTTAGGGTACCAGTTCTCTTATAGCCTCTATGAATTGAGGTTGGTTCACAACCACGATACATGTCCTGGATTTTGAACTCTTCAACTTGGAGTGACTTACGCAGAGCTGTTGTCTAAAATTTTGAACCTATCTTCCAGGCAGACTAGAAATATTTGTTTCCCCACATCCCGTGAATAGGGGGATCCTAGCCAATAAGCTTCCTTGAAAACAGTCCAGTGCCCAGGCCCTGTGGAAAGGTCTGAAAATGATACTCCAGATTATGTCCTACCTGACTTCTCTTTTTTCTTTCCTGCCCAGCCCAGACTTCTCTTCCTTTAACCCCAACTCTTTGGAAGTAAGGAGGGAAAATGCAAGGGCCTTTTCTTGACACTGATGCTAAATAAAACTAGATTTATGGGGCAAAAGGTCCCCAGGAAAGTTAAATCAGCCCCATCAAGTGAGATGGGTAACTTCTCAGATTTCCAGACTACTGTATAGAGCTTCTGGGAATTGGTGATGCTTTGTTAAGGTTTGGGCAACACAGAAATCTGTGGCTGGCAGTCACTATTCCCACTCTTGGCCCTCCTGGTGCTCTTCTGAAAAGTGTTATTTCATGAGGCAATGCTGGGAAGGAAGTAAATCATATTTCTTGATTAACAACCATGGTCTCCTTCAGCCATTCCTGAGACTTAGTCTAAAATAATGAATAAGTGTCATTGGTACTCTCCTCTGCTACAAAGCCAGTTTCAGGCAAGTTATGAAGCATACTTTAAGAGATCAGACTCAGATCCTTCTTTGCTCCCTAGTGAGGACTTTGGTAGAGGACAGGGAAGGTATAGAGGCACCAGAACTTTCTCTGAAGTCCCAAATCCTAAGAATGCTTTATGACCTCATACAGGTAATACCAAGGGACTCCACAAAGTGGTTTGGTAGAAAATCCCTGCATAATCAAGTGGCAGCTTACTGAAGGATTCACCCAACTGTTACAAGTTATCCAATATATACACTCATCTGTATGCAGAGAAATCCACACAATTTTGAGACTGGATCCATGGTCACTAACTACTACAGCTACACAAGGTCCAATTGTATTGAGGTCTCCGTGAACTCAACAATCTGTATCTTGAAAATGAAGACCCTCCAGTTTTTGCTTCCTGTAAATCTCACCATTCCTCTTCTCTAGCTCTCATGAACACAAGAACCAGAAAAACATGAAAATTCGAGAGAACAGAAGGCAAAGAGCCAGCTTCTGTGCTCAAAACTTTATTCAGCATTAGACTTATCTGATTTTTCAATGTATGAGGGTGAAATGTACTTAGCGTGCACACGCATGCGCATTTATGTGCATGTAGTCACATCCATGTACATACACGCCCACGTGTGGATTTTCTTACCCGCTGGCAAGTTATCCTCCATCTGGTTTCTTCTGTACACAACTGCTTCCCTCCTGAAAGGATCATTCCCTTCCCACTGCCCTGCTGCCTATCCTAAGCCCCCAGACTCTCCTCAGATTCTTAGATAACAAAGTGAGAGAAGAACATTTTCTAACTTATCCTTTTTGTGCCCCTTCCACTATCCTAGGCTTTGCTCCAAGTTGCACTTTAAATCATAGAGTCCTATCAATGCAATCTGGCCTCTTCTCCCATACTGCAACCAAGGGACAACTCTCTTCACTCCCACCGCTAAATGACTGTTCAGAGTACAACCTGTCTCTGCTGACCTGGAATCCTTTCTAAGGTTATAAGACAAACTATAGAAGCAGCCAGGTCTGGTGAGAAATGGGTTCACACCAACCACAGACTTGGGATTTTAGGAGAACACTAGGCATAGATGTTAAGGGAGATTTTAGGAGATGGGCAAAACAACTGATGGAGAATACTCAGGGTGTAAAGATGAGACAGGATTGTGCTGAGAGACCTAGTGAAATCAATAAAATCCTTGTCTTACTCGGACTAGCAAACTAGAGGTGGGTGGAGGTTTGGGAAATTAGGATATCGTACATATGAAAAGTTTATCTAAAGAGAAAGAAAAAGAGATAATATATATAGTGAGATGTATATAAATGTATATATGCCCAAATATACTGCATGTACAGAAAGAAAGTATTCAGAGACCTTAGCATAGGGGACAGAGATCTTTTCCTAGTTGTGGGGTAGGGCACCCAAACTCTCAGACTTAAAACCAGTGATCCAGTTCAACATGGATGTGAGATAGCTGGAGGATTTCAGGTCTGATGATAGAAAAGAGAGGTGTAGAAACTGTTTTTCAGAAGCATCCCTTGAGGCTTTTAATGAACCCTATGCTACTGACAGAACCAGAAGAGTTAGAAGGAAAATGGGGAGGGGAACAGTTCTCATCCATGGAAATCTAGGGAAATCTACTATTGAGGCCCCCATCTCTAGCATTGTTCTGCCATTGTAGCACCTTTAAAATAAATAAATAAATAAATAAATAAATAAATAAATAAAAACACCCTTTGTATCTTTATCTTGAAATTGAACTATACCACATTTCCCCTCTTCCACAAGCAGCTGTAGCTCCAGCCTCTGGGGTCAAATAGAGAGCTGAACACCTTGGTATATGGAGGTACTAAAGGGAAGCCTCAACCCTATAATTCAAATGCTTGGACTGAAGAGATGTTGGGTCCAAGATATACCATATGCAGGGATTCAGCCCTCCATATGGCTGCAAGCAGCCTTGGGAGTTGATACTGCATTTGGGCATGTTGGGTGATGCTTTGGCTTTGATGCTTCTAGATGAAAATGAGGAGTAGGGCTACCAGCTGCTCTAAGGGACAGAGCAATTCCACAAGAGGCTTCGGAAATCCCTATACTGTGCTTCACCTCATTATTGCTACTCCTCCAACCCCTGTCAGCTAATATGACTAGCCAGGGATTTCCTTATGAAGTCTGAGCAGAGAAAGGAAGCCAATTATACAACTGCTACAAGCCAGGGGCACTGCCCCCTCCTCAAGGCTGCTAAGCTGGTCCTTAGTCCTTGCTAGTAACCTAGTTTATTTGTAAAATAATGTACTACCTTTGCTGTAAAGTTATGGGCTACCTGGCTCAGTAATGGTCAACTCTACTGAAGAAGAAGTATTTAGGGATAGTTCTTCCATTCACTGCACTAAAGACTAAGGTCAAACTCACCTGGGGAGGGGGGAGGTGTGTGGGTGTGTTTTGGTTTGTTTTACTTTTGTCTGTTTAGAACAAGCAACTACATAAAATGAATGAATCTATGATCTTCAACTAAATAAAATAAGTCTCTGGTCTTCAACTAAATGAATGAATCTCTAGTCTTCCCTCTGGTTCCTTTTAGAAACTCAAATTAATACTATTGTTAAGGCTTGAGTCATAGGCCTACCTATGGGAGAGGAGAGTTGAATTAGGCTGTGCTGAAGAACATGCCTCCTGGTCAGGTCTGTCCGTTTAACTTTTCTCATGCTTCTCACTAATAATAACACTCATTCTCTCCACTCTTTTCCCTGCCTCCCCTCATTAACTTTAGGATCCTTTAGCAAATACATTACAAATTCAGCTTTTAAAGAACAAGATCTATAAAACAGGGGCCAGTGGATGACACACTAGAGGAAAAATGTGACACTGAGGCTAATCCACATGGGAAGGTTCCGGGTTTGCATAGAGATCTCACTGAGTATGACAAGTATACATGTGCCCACAGTCTGGGACTGGCTGGGGGAGAATTGTGGCATTAAGACCCTGTAGATGGTGCTGTCTCTCTGTCTCTCTCTCTCTATCATGAAATAAACGAGTAAGTTTAGAAAAAAAAAAAGTTAAGATCCAGGAATTTAAAAATCAGCTTAATCTAGGAAAGTCAAGTTGTTTTGGATCCCCAGCATTGTTCCTTTAGGCCACAGATCATAAACTCAATTTTCCTTCCACGCTACTGTGTAGACTTGTGGCCAGTTTTCCTTGTATATGCTCAAGACTCTATGGTCCTACTCCTTAAATAACTGGACGTTTCTTCCACCAAATCTCAAAGAAATGGATTCATTTCTACTTTTATCACTAGCCTGAGAAAGGTCTGGCTGTCAACATTCAGCTCTGAATTCTCTCTGGTTAGAAACAACAGATCATACAGTCACTGACTCTTGTTCCCCAGAAATGTAAGAACAGAGGAGGGAGAAAATTTGGCCTCTTATTGTCAACAGATACTTATCTATAACATTTAGAAAACACTAGGGATGAGTCATAAGACATATGAGATATGTAAGATATATGAAATGTATAGTTTCTACAAATTTGAAGGAACCTATAAACTTGTGGGAAAGAGAAAATAACAAGTAGCTATACTAAGGACATACAGTAAGTAGCATTTAACAAATATAATTAAGAACAATAACAAACAGCATATACTAATGCCAGATATAGCATTAATAACATGTTCTTTTCTTTTTTTATTTTTATTAGAGAGAGATTTTTGCTATAGAGTATGTACATTCACTAGAGAAAGAGAGCAAGAAGTCACCCTCCCCAGGGGGGATGGCCACACTGCAATCCCTTTTCCTCCACTCTTTCATGATTAGGGGCATGGATGCACATGTGCCTGGTGTGAGGTTTAATCCACCAGGTCCGGGACTTGAACCAAGATCAACTACATGGGAGTCCAGTGACGTTACCACTGTGTCATCTGCTGGTCCCAATAACATGCTCTAAAAGAGCAAGATGGGCTGGCCCCATGGCCTGCTGTTAAGGGAGCCAGATTCCACATGGCCAACTGTGTGGTTCAAATCCCCAGTTTGAAAAACATGCTGTGTGTGTGTGCATGTGTGCTCCAAATCCTAACAGGAATGAGATGGAGGAGAAAGCTTTGTGGTATAACCACACTCTAGTGCAGGGTGTATTCTCATCTCCTCCTTCCTCTATCAAGTGCATGCACTCTCTAGCAATAACTATATCCATACACAAGAGTGAGATTTCTGTTGAAAGTATTTTACGGGACAGACATTGGGCAAAGGAATGGTATCTATCTAAGTGGTTTGGTTAGGACCACTTAAAATATTTGACAAGATTCAAGAAAAATCAGCAAATATTGGGTTGTCAGTAAAGTCATAATGCATTTTTGCACAGAAAAATGTCACAACTTTCCTAATTACTCACCACTTAACTGAGTTCCTATTGTGTAGAAGGGACCATTCAGCTAATAAAGAAACCTAAGACACTATATATGCCATCAGTGGATATACAATCTTGGGGGTTTCTACCTGCCATTCCTTCTGTGGAACTTTCTCTCCTGCTTGCCAACTCCCAACATTCTTAGTTCTTACAATGCTACCTTAGGTCAGATAAATCCCATTAAAAAACATAGCATGGAGCCAGCAGGTGTGGTGGAGGTTAAGGTGCTCAATTTCCACATGGCCAACTTCACAGTTCAAGTCCTGGACTCGGTAGCTTAAAAATCATGCTGGGCATGTGTGTGTGCATGCCCCAAATCACGAGAGAATGGAGAAAGGATGCAGCATAACCATATCCCCTGGGGAGTAATATCTCATTTTCCTTCTCTTTGTCTCTCTCCAGTGAGGGCACATACCCTATAGCAAACAAATAAACAAACCAAAAACGTCGTAGCACTTGTCACAGATGCAATTTTAGATTACTTGAGGATTTATCTGACTAATGTGTATCTCACTCACTAGACTTTTAAGTGTCATGTGAATGGGACTCATGTCAAATGTCTGGCTACCAGTTCTACACAGGACCTAGTATAGTACCCAGCAAATATGATGTTTGATAAATGTAGCAGGAGGGAAGAGAAGGAAAAAAAGGAAGGAAAGAGCTAGTATGTAGTTGCAACTGGTATATCTTATTAAATAACCAACAAAGAATTAGATAACACTTTTTTTTTTTTAAGAGAGGTTTTTCGCTATAGGGTGCGTTCGCTCCTCAGACAGACAGAGACATAGAGACAGAAAGCGGGAAATCATCCCCCAGGGGGGATGGTCACGCCACAATCCCTTCTCCTCCATTCTCCTCTCGGGATCTTGGGCACGCACGCACAAACGCCTGGCGTGAGTTTTAAGCCACCGGGTCCAGGACGCGAACCGCGGTCAACTACGTGGGAGTCCAGTGACACAGCCATTATGCTAACTGCTGGTTCCCAATAACACATTTTTTATAAGATTCTTTTTAAGATTTTATTTTATTTATCGTCATTTTTCAATTTTACCAGAGAGAGACAGAGAGAAAGGTTTTTGCTATAGGATACATGAGCTTGCCAGAGAGACAAAAAGCAAGAAATCACCCCCCAGGGGAGATGGCCATACCGCAATCCCTTCTCCTCCATTCTCCTCTCGGGATCTTGGGCACACGTGCACATGTATCCGGTGTGAGTCTAAGCCACCGGGTCCTGGATTTGAACCACAATCGACGACATGGAAGTCCAGCGACATAGCCATTACACAAAATGCTGGTCCTGGTAACACATTTTACAAGGCATGACATAAATGTCAAAAAGTAGAACAGATAAAACACCACTAATTTGGGGGGAGAGACTATTTCTACTTGTTAAAATCCAGGAAGAGTTCGGAGTTGTTGAAGAATTGAAGGACTTAGCATTGAAGGACAAAAAAAACATCCAAGCAAGTGAAGAGAAGGTGATACGATATAAGCAAAATATTGTAAGAATTCACAAGGCATATTTAAGGGACCATCAGTAAATCTACAATAGGGGTTCTGACTAAGGTGCAAGATGCTGGACATGGAAAGAATTAGGAATAGATTCAAAAGAAATTACAAAGCAGGATGTATGAACAAGGTCTAGCAAAAAAGTGAATTAATCAGGATGCTAGCAGGAAATAAATGGTTCAACTCTCAGGCCTCCCATGTGGCCTCATTCTGAGAAGCAGTGTCTTAACTGTGCACGCCACTGCAACTGGACCTAGACATATTTTAATGATGGGATTATTTGCAAGAGTATGGGCAGGTTTAATGAACCAGTCAGAGACGTGAAGAACCTAGGACCTGCAACAGTATGAAGTCTTTAGTAGCCTGAAGGAACAACTGGTAGAATATGCTAAGAGTTGTACTCAAAGGCTATACCTCCACCAGGAGCCACTGCCTTGGGCAGAGGAACTCAGACACTGCCAAAGATCTCTAGTGCCTCCCACTAGCCTACTCTAATGGAAAGCCAGAGAACAAGAGAGACGGAGAGAGACTACTTATGGAGTTTAATCTCTCACAGCACAGAACAGGGCAAAAAATATGGAGAACAGACATGGAAGTGGACATAATAGCAAATGCAGCATAATGAACCAGGTAAGATCCTAGGTAAGAATACTAGTGATAAGCTATGCATATGTGTACTCTCCCTAGCTACAAGACAGAAATCGAGGGGCAGACAGAGGAAGGGATAATAGGAAGGATTACAAGTAATAGTCCAAGAGGCAATGAATAGTTGAACATTTTTTTAAAATATAGCTTTTTTCAGGGAAAAGTGAGAAAACAGAACCCCTAAGCTCAGTGCAAAAAGTATGGCATCTTTACACCCTGTGATGCTTCTGACCAACCTGGAAATAGTAACTTAAGTCAGATTTCTTTTTCCAATTTGTTTTTACAGAACTCATCTCTATTTCATTCTCATGACTATTATCTATCTATATCTGACTCCTTTGACTTCAGTGACAGGCTGTTTCTTTTGACTAGTTGTGTCTCCGTATCTGCCCGAATTTGATGCCTCCCACCTTTCTACTAGGTGGCATATAAAGACAGACTGGCAAGGCCTTTCTGCCATCTGCCTAAACCAACTCAACCAGAGGAACCCTTACTCAATTAATACTAAAGTCATTTATCTTGTATATTTCCTACCTTCAGGGACTAAGCCTCATTTATCTATCACTCACAGAGGAAAAGAATAAACTAGAGAAAGGATATTAAAGATTCAGACAAGAGGGACCAGCAGTTAGCGTAATGGCTATGTCACTGGACTCCCATGTAGTTGACCACGGTTCGAGTTCTGGACCCGGTGGCTTACACTCATGCTGGGTGCGTGTGCGTGCGTGCCCAAGATCCCGAGGGGAGAAGAGAGGAGAAGGGATTGCGGCATGGTCATCCCCCCTGGGGGGGTGATTTCTTGCTTTCTGTCTCTGTCTCTCTCTGTCTGGCGAGCGCACATGCCTTATAGCAAAAACCTCTCCCCCCCCAAAAAAAAAGATTCAGACAAGAGGGATCAACAAGAAACAGAGAAGAAAATTATAATTCATATTAACATTTTATTTCCAAATCAGCTACATAGTGATTAAAATACTCTGGGTCAGGTGTCGGCAAGTGGCATGACGGTTAAAGGCAAAATAATGATCATGGTGGTGATTTATAATAGCTGTAAAAATATAAACATAATAGCTGTATTTATTGAGGACTTATTTGCAAAGTGCCAGGCATTGTGCTAAATACTTTTCACCACATAAGGTAGATATATCCACCTATACAAATGAAGAAAACCAAGACTTAGAGAGATTGAGTAATTTTCCCAAGTCACATAGCCAGCTAGAGGCAGCACCACAACTCAAATCCAGATTCGTCTGACCCAGAGTTTTTTTTTAAAGAATTATTTTATTTAACTTTATTTATTATTATCATCATTATTATTTTCCAGTTTGATCAGAGAGAGAGAGGGGAAGTGAGAAAGCAAGCCACCAGGTCCGAGACTTGAACTGTGGTCGACTACATGGGAGTCCAGCAACATAGCCATTACGCTAACTGCTGGTCCCACGGTCATTCCTTTATTAAAGCATTTGTTACACTACTTTGTTATAACTAGTTTGTTTTTCTCTTTCCAAGTTTTCCATCAGGACACTTTTGAGTTCTTTGAGAACAGAGTGGTTTGTTCTATGCCCGCCTCCCCCCAGGTTTTTGTTATAGGGCACCAGAAAGAGAGAGACAGGGATAGAAAGCAAGAAATCACCACCCCTGGGGGGGGGAGGGGGGATGGCTACGCCACAATCCTCCCTCCTCCATTCTCCTCTTGGGATCTTGTGCACTCACGCATACGCACCCAGCGTGAGTTTAAGCAGCCGGGTCTGGGACTCGAACCGCGGTCAATTACATGGAAGTCCAGCAACCCAGCCATTACCCTAACTGCTGGTCCCGTTTTTTTTTTTTTTTTCTATATCTCAGTATCTACCACAATACCAGACTTATAGTAGCTATTCAGCAAACACTGAATTGATTGTGGACTTCTCTTCTCAGAATACTTCTAGGCTGTTATCCTTGGATTACTCCCAACTCATTTTCTCTTTCAAACATACTTTACCTATGTCAGGGTCTGCCCCTTCCACCTACCTGACTCCAACCCTACTTACATGAATTTTTCACCAAGGACTCCAACCCATTCGCTTTTTCCCTTCTGCGGTCACATAATGCACTTACAGTCTCACTAAAGATGTGATATTTTATTTCAGACTGTACTCATAATCCTTTCAATAAGGTTGTAGGGTTCTAGAGAGTAGGAATGACATCTTAACACTTTTTTCAATTACTCAGAATTTACTGCAGTTTTAGGCACATAGTAAATATTTACTAAATCATGATTTTACAGACTGAGCTTGATTTTATAGATTGAGCTTGCTTCCTAGGGGAAGTCTTCTAAGCTTTCTGGAATTTAGAGCCTAGAAAAATCACCCAGAACTGTGACCCACAGGATCTTCCTTGTGAATGATTTTCTCACGCTTAGAGCCTCTGCGCCCCAGTCCATCTATCTTCAGACAGCAGAGATTGGCACCTAAATCGTTCCGTGTGAGAAGAAAACGGAGCTGAGGGCTGGGGTAGCTTCCGGGGAGCTAATATTTGAAGGGATGTGTACGTGTTTGCCGGGGTGACTGGGGGTGGGGAAGGTAACCTTGGTAAAAGAAACAGCAAACACAAGGGCACTGAGGCATGAGGACCTGACACTGTAGAGGAACTCTGTAAAGCTCCCCTGTCCCCCTTCCTTCCTATACTTACCACCTAGGGTTGCTGGAAAACATACAAGCTTGACCACTAAATCTGAATTTCAGATAAACGACTAATAATTTTAAGACAGATGTATGCTCCAAGTACTGCATGGACATACAAACCAGGGCCCCTTTTCAACTCATCCTGGGCGGGGGGTCCTCGAGGCCCACAATGCCCTCACGAATAACGGCGAGCTGGTGGACTAATGCTTGAGAAACTATCTTAGGCTTGTGGGTCGCCAGCCCAGGTCTGAGAACGTGGCTCGCAGCTCGTTCGGAGGCTGGGGTCCGTCTCTGCTAACGGGTGTTGTGGTGGGAGTACACAGGACCGCTCACAAGAAAAACTCACTCCGCTCTACGAAACGCCCCCGCGGCGGCGACTTTCCCGGCAAGCGGAAGTCATTTACTCCAGAGACCGGAAATCCCGCCTCCGTCGGAGGAAGGAGCCACAGCGAGACAACCAATTAGAAGGCAAGATTTTGGTTCGGGCCCTGCGTGAAAGGAAACCGGAAGCGGCTCTGGGGCGGGGCTTCATGCCGGAAGTGGCGGTCGAGCGTTCGGTCGGTGGGCGCCTGGGCTCGTTGGCGATGCGCTGCCAAGCTGGGGCGAGGGGCCGAAGCGAGAGTTAGCGGTACAAATGCAGTCTGGGGCAGTGGCTGCGGGCCAGCCGCAGGGCTCGATTAGGTGCTGGGGAGAATGGTTCCTGGATCTGCGGGCGCTCCCGGCCGGCTTGTTTGGCGTGGCCTTCCTTGCCCGAGTCGCCCTGGTTTTCTATGGGGTCTTCCAGGACCGGACCCTGCTCGTGAGGTACACGGACATCGACTATCACGTCTTCACGGACGCCGCGCGTTTCGTCACGGAAGGGCGCTCCCCTTATCTGAGGGCGACGTATCGTTACACTCCGCTGCTCAGTTGGCTCCTCACTCCCAACATCTACCTCAGCGAGCTCTTTGGAAAGTTCCTGTTCGTCGGCTGCGACCTCCTCACCGCTTTTCTCCTCTACCGCCTGCTCCTTCTGAAGGGGCTGAGGCGCCGCCAGGCTTGTGGCTACTGTGTGTTTTGGCTCCTTAACCCCCTACCCATGGTGGTATCCAGCCGAGGCAATGCGGACTCGGTCGTCGCTTCCCTGGTGCTTATGGCTTTGTACTTAATAGAAAAAGAGCTCGTCGCCTGTGCTGCTGTGTTCTATGGTTTCGCGGTGCACATGAAGGTGTATCCGGTGACTTATATCCTTCCCATAGCCCTGCACTTGTTTCCCGAACGCGACAATGACGAAAGCCACCGTCTATCCCGGTGCGCAATCTTGGTTCACTTGTACGAATTCCTAAAGAGGCTGTGTAATCGGGCTGTACTGCTCTTTGTGGCAGTTTCTGGACTCACATTTTTTGCCCTGTGCTTGGGCTTCTACTATAAATATGGCTGGGAATTTTTAGAACACACCTACTTGTATCACCTGACGAGGCGGGATATCCGTCACAACTTTTCTCCGTACTTCTATATGCTGTATTTAACAGCAGAGAGCACGTGGAGTTTTCCCCTGGGACTTGCTGCATTTGTGCCACAGTTCATCTTGCTTTCAGCAGTGTCTTTCGCTTATTATAGAGACCTTGCCTTTTGTTGTTTTCTTCACACGGCCATTTTTGTGACTTTTAACAAAGTGTGCACCTCGCAGTACTTTCTTTGGTACCTTTGCCTACTGCCCCTTGTGATGCCACTAGTGAGACTACCTTGGAGAAGAGCTATAGTCCTCCTAATGCTCTGGTTCCTAGGGCAGGCCTTATGGCTGGCTCCTGCTTATGTTCTTGAGTTTCAAGGAAAGAACACCTTTTTGTTTATTTGGTTAGCTAGTTTGTTGTTTCTTGTCATCAACTGTTTCATTCTAATTCAAATTATTTCCCACTACAAGAAGGAACCACTGACAGAGAGAATCAAATATGACTGATACAGTTTAGATCTTCTGCCACTTTTGTATATGACATTTTGATCAGTCTGTATGGACCAAAATAGAACTTTAGAAAAATTTTCTGAGTATTCTAAGCATTCTTGTGAAAGGTCCCCTGTTCCAATGGAAATTAAAACCTACATTTGCCTTATAAAGGAGATTTGATAATTGAGGTCCACTCTAGGAAATTTTAGGATTCTTTTTTGGGACATGATGTGTAATAAAAGTTACTTAGAAACATTCTTTTAGAAAAATAGAGAAATAGGGGCCAGCAAGTGGCACAGTAGTTACGGGCGCTGGATTCCCACATGGTTTGAGTCCTGGACCTGGCATCCTTCTTTCTCACTTTCCCTCTCTTTCACTTTGTCTTTCTGGTAAAAATTAAAATAAAGTAATTATTTTTTAAAAAAAGAAAAAGAGAAGTATAGTTAGAGACGAAGTCCTAAGCCAGTATTTGCTAAGTTATACTATACTATTCTTTTCAACTGTCTTATCTTTTAACCCCTACTTTTTCTCTCTAGTTTTTTCCTGACAGTTGTCAGATTTTACAAAATATTCCTAAAGTACAACTTTGAAGATATAAACTATTGGAACCAGCAGTTGGTGTAATGGCTATGTCGCTGGACTCCCATGTAGTTGACTACAGTGCAAGTCCTGGACTCCAGGCGCGTGTGTATGCGTGCCCGAGATCCCAAGAGGAGAATGTAGGAGAAGGGATTGAGGTGTGGCCAAACCGCCCCCCCACCCCCACCCCCGCTGCCTGGGGGCTGATTTCTCATTTTCTGTCTCTCTGTCTCTTTCCGGCGAGCACATGCAACCTATAGCCAAAAAAAAAAAAAAAAAGAAAAAAAAAGAAAAGATATAAAGCACTGGAGGATTAGCAGTTGTCATAATGGCTATGTAGCTGGACTCCCCTGTAGTCGACTGTGGTTGGAGTTCTGGACCTGGTGGCTTAAACTCACTCTGGGTATGTGTGCGTGCATGCCCAAGATCCCGAGAGGAGAATGGAGAAGGGATTGCGGTGTGGCCATCCCTCCTGGGGGTGATTTCTCACTTTCTGTCTCTCTGTCTCTCTGTCTGTCTGGCGAGCGCACGTGTCCTATAGCAAAAAAAAAAAAATTGTAATCATCTTTTATGTATTTTATAATTTTTCAGCACTCAGTCCTAGTAGTATTAGACTACCTTTTGGTTTTGTACAAAAAGGATTAAGTTAACTTCATTCACCTTTAGAATTGAATTTTTACATTTAAAAAAAATCTTGAAGCCAGGAGATGGTGTGGAGGTTAAGCTGACTAGCTCCCACATGGCTGACTGCACAGTTTGAGTTTAAAGACCTGGTGGCTTGAAAAACACGTGGGGCATGTGTGCATGTGTGCCCAAAATTCCAAGAAGAGAATGGAGAAGGGATTACAGTGTGGCCATTCCCCCCATGGGATATAATTTATTTTCTCTGTCTCTCTCTTTGACAGCTACACAAGCCCTATATCAAAACTTAAAAAATTGCTTTTGATGGTTGAAATCCTTTAGCAAAAAGCTATTAGAACATCTTGGTATACTTTTACCCCTTTAAGTTTCTGATTCTAAAAAGTTTTTTCATGTAGAATTTAAGTTAACCAAGTGTTATCTGTGTTGTAAAAATGAATACTAATAGATTTTAGGTGAGAAAATGTTAAATTGTTAGTAAGGCATTTCCCAGCTTCAGTATACCTCACTTATGAAAAATCTATGATAGAAGAACATCTTGGAGGGGGACTCCTGGAAAGTATAAGTGTCCTAGGAGCCATTCCAGACCAGGAGACTGATGAGATGGTGGCAATGAGGCATTGGTGAGCAGATCTCTTTTAATCACTATTTTTTAGGAAAAAACATTTTTATAGTGTTTAAGCAAACATCCTAAAAAATAAAAGAAAAAATAGCCAATTTAGGTTAGGGACTTTCTAATATTCTAAAATGCAATAGCAATATATGACTGCTTTTGTGATTGCAATTTTAAAAGATGAGCAATTTAACAAATTGTTATTGCACAGTAAAAACAAACAACAACAAAACACCAAAACAAAGCATCCCAACAAACAAAAGAATTATTAGTAATATATTTCTGGTCAGTTCAATCCTAAAAATGTTCTTGAAAATAAGGGATTTATAGACTGATCATAATTAATGCTATTACTGGTAACACTTTGTTGGGTACCTTTTGGGACCTGCAAGTAGAAAGGAGAGAATGGGTGTTTCTGCATGAGCTATTGTTTGGGTAACAATAGCAGTCAGTTATTGTAGTTCTGGACTCACATTAGGTCTTATCTTGAGGACTCTATATGACTGTCCACCAGTGGCCTTCCAATATAGTAGTGCACAGTCATGCACTTCCAGAGCATTTTACTTTTATTTTTTTCAATAATAATTAAAACTTTTTAAAAACATACTTTTAATAGAGCTGACAGGGAAGGGGTTGAGTAACAGAATTTCCAGCAGCTTGAAAATCGTGCCAGACATGTGTGCATATCTAAAATCCCAAGAGGGGAGAGGAGGAGAAAGGATTGTGTTAATCATCCTCTCTGGAGGGTAGTTTTTCACTTTCCCTCTCTGTCCTCTCCAGCAAGCATGTGTACCCTATGGCAAAAATCTCAAAGCAAGACAGACAAAATTTAGCATTGAAGTTGCTGAATATTTTATCACGTAGATGTTTGCATCATGAATACATCATTCTTCCACTGTTAGTCCTTTAAGATTATTTCCGGTTCTTAATAATTTCAATAAGACTTTAAACATATTTCATGTTTTAGGCAATTCCATCAGGAGATTTTTATAAGTAAATAAATTTCTGCTGTGATCTTCAGAGGGTACTTCAACTTAAGATTCTGTCCTGTGAGAATTATTTACCAAAGAAATGCAGATGTTTCTTAAGAGATGCAGAGGGTATTTTGCAGTTTATATGCAGCAAAACATTTAATAAGTTAACTCAAGAAATATTTTAATTTGGTCTCTTTGGGGATGTAATTTTAAAAATTTATTTCTTCTGGTTTTGTAAAGTTACTTTTTGGCTTTTCACTTAAGACTCTTTTGGTTTTTTTAATTAGTGCTGTCTACCTGAAAAGGAAGACAGGCACAGTAAGTGAAACAAAAGTAGTTTTGAGTCTAGAGTTTAGGATGATCATTTGGCCTCTACAGAATCCAGATTGCCTCAAATAGATGTGCCAAGAGCTTAGAGATTTCAGGATGATTTTAAAGGCAAAAGTCACAAATGTGAGAGGAGGGTATCACAGAGTCTTGTGTAGCAGTGACATAAAATGTAGCCAGTCATTTTTACTACATTTTATGATAAGTGGAGCAGAATGATCATGTGGAGTCACTTTGAGCAAAGCATGGTGGAGACTGAGTCTGGAAGGTAAAGGAGGGATGTATGTTGACAGTAAGGATGTTTATAAAACAAAAATGTCCAGTGAATTTATGTAGCATCTTGAGCTATTTTAGGTGCACATTCTTAAGAAAGACTCAGATGAGTTATTTTCTTGTGGTGCTGACTCAGGTGGACAAGAGTCTTTTATTTTCAGAAAAAAAATAAATAGATCTATTCAGGGATATATCAACTCCCCTAAAGTTTTAGTTGTAATGTTTTAGCTTGAGTGACTCCATTTTGGTCCATTGAGGCCTAGAGCAGGTGCTTAGTCCACAGAAGTTGACCTCTTATAATTTTTATTTATTTAATTTTTAAAAAGAACTATTTTATTCAAACTTTATTATTATTATTTAATTTGAGAGGGATAAAGTGATAAAGCAAGCCACCAGGTCCAGGATTCAAATCATAGTTGGCATGGGAGTCCAGTGCCTTAGCCATCACACCACCTGCAGGGCCCACAAGTTTTTAATTTATTTTATTAGTTATTATTATTATTTAATTTGACCAGAGAGACAGAGAGAGAAAAAAGGAAAGTGAGAAAGCAAGTTGCCAGGTACAGGACTCAAATACACGGTCAGCCATATGGGAGTCCAATGCCTCAACCACCCATCACTTGCCAGCCTCTTATAATTTTTATTTAACAGTCCTTTAATAACACCCTAAATTTGTATAGCACTTTGCTTTTTATATATGTAATTCTTTTTTGTTATTATACCATTCCTTAAGATCAGTATAGTCATTTATAGATAGCTGTTGTCAGACTAAGAGGGATGGTTTTCAAGATAGCCTGTTCTAAACAGAGGTACTGCAAAACATTTTCTTTTGTAATTACCTTTTTAAGATTTTCAAAATGTGGTTCTTAAACATCCTTACATAACTTATCTAAGCCTATTAGAAAGGCTAATACTCCTACTTCCTGCTCCCTTTTTCCCCACATAATATAATTTTTAAAACCATAGATTTTAATTACTAACATCTCACTGTCTGGATTCTGTAAGTGGCAGTATTGTTTCATATGTTGCATAGAACTTCTTTAGTTAGTTGACTTATAGCTGACTATAGTGTTATTTTCTATCAATCAGCTGTTTTCTGCATTACCTATACCTCCCTTCTAACCATCTGTATTGTAAGAAGAAAAGGAAAAAGATAGGAAATTCTACCTGGGATGATCCCTAAATGCAACCTCTTCTCCCCCACCCCCAGTGCTTTATTAGGAAGTATTTTAAACATTACCTATATAACTGTCATCTAAGTTCAGTAATTAGCATTTTGCTTTATATGTATATAACAAGGAATTAAAGAAAGTTCATGAAAATATACATTTAAAAAGTTGCATAGATTTAAAATTTTTTTGCACTAAAATAAACATACATTAATTCTGATCTCCCACAGAGAGATTAGAGCTCTACAATTTTCTTATAGAGCTTTAGAGAGAGCCCTTCTGGGGAGGAGTGGCCATGCCACAGTCCCTTCTTTTCTATTCTCTTCAGGAGCTTGGGCAAACATGCACATGTGCCCTGTGGAGTGTTTTTTAAGCTGCTGGGTCTTGAACCACAGTTGTTATGTGGCATCCAGCCACCTTAACCACCATGCTACTGACTGGGCCTCCACAAACTTTTCAAAGCCCCTTTGTGTTATTTATTTAACGTTTTTCTTTTTCCCTTTTTTTTTTTAAAAGAGGTTTTTGCTATAGGGTCCGTGTGCTCACCAAACAGAGAGAGAAACATAGAGACAGAAAGCGAGAAATCAACCCCCAGGGGGGATGGCCACGCCGCAATCCCTTCTCCATTCTCCTCTCCGGATCTTGGGCACGCATGCACACGCACCCGGAGTGAGTTTTAAGCCACCGGGTCCGGGACGCAAACCACAGTCGACCACGTGGGAGTCCAGCGACATAGCCATTATGCTAACTGCTGGTCCCTATTTAATGTTTTTCTGAACCAGGTGAAGTTGCAAGCATTGTTGAACTTCACCACTAAATATATCAGCATGATTTCCTAAAATGATCTTTTATTAAAATCCTAATGCCATTATCTTTTTTAAAAGAATTATTTTATTTAACATTTATTTATTTATTTATTACTTATTTTAATTTGACTAAAGAGGGAAAGAATGAGAGAGAGGGAAAGTGAGAAGGCAAGCCACCAGGTCTGGGACTCAAACCACTCTTGGCTATGTGGGAGTCCAGTGCCCTTAATCACTACACCACCTACTGGCCACTATCTACTATAATTTAACATCTTGTCTCCACCCACGCTCACCC